GTCTGCCTGCTCATCATTTCTTATAGTACAATAATATTCCATTACATTCACAAACCATAACTTATTCAGCCATTCCCAATTGGTGGGTATCCCCCCAATTTCCAATTCTTTGTCACCATAAAAGAGCTGCTATAAATATTTTTGTACATGTGGGTCCTTTACCCCATTTGTATGATTTCTTTGGGATACAGACCTAGAAGAGGTATTCCTAGGTCAAAAGGTATGCAAAGTTTTATAGCCCTTTGGGTATAGTTCCAAGTTGCTCTCTAGAATGGTTGAATGAGTTCACAACTCCACCAACAATTCATTAGTGTTCCAATTTTCCCACATCTTCTCCAACATTTATCATTTTCCTGTTATGTCACATTAGCCAATCTGATAGGTGTGATGTGATACCTCAGAGTTGTTCTGATTTTCATTTCTCTAATCAGTGATGATTTAGAGCATTTTTATATGACTATAGATAGCTTTAATTTCTTCTTCTGAAAAGTATCTATTCATATCCTTTGACCATTTATCAATTGGGAAGTGACTTGTAGTCTTATAAATTTGACTCAGTTCTCTATATATTTTAGAAATGAGGCCATTATCAGAGATACTGGCTGTAAAAAAATGTTTCCCAGCTTTCTGCTTCCATTCTAATCATGGTTGCATTGTCTTTCTTTGTGCAAAAACTTTTCATTCTGATGTAATAAAAAATATCCATTTTGCATTTTGTAATGTTCTCTCTCTCTTGTTTGGTCATAAATTCTTCATTTCTCCAAAAATCTGATAGGTAAATTATTCCTTACTGTCCCACTTTGCTTATAGTATCAACCTTTATATCTAAACTGTGTACCCATTTTGACTTTATTTTGGCATATGGTGTAAGATGTTGGTCTATGCCTAGTTTTTACCATGCTTTTTTTTTTCCAGTTTTCCCAGCAGTTTTTGTTAAATAGTGAGTTATTATCCTAGAAGCTGGAGTCTTTGTTTTTACCAAACAGCAGATTACTATAGTTACTGATTATTGTGTCTTGTGTACTTAACTTATTCCACTGATTCACCACTCTATTTCTTAGTCAGCACCAGGTACTTTTGATGATTGCTGCTTTATGATACAATTTAAGATCTGGTAAGGCTAAGCCACCTTCCCTTGCATATTAATTCCCTTGATATTCTGGACCTTTTGTTCTTCCAGATAAATTTTTTTATTATTTTTTAAGTTCTGTAAAATATTTTGGTAGTTTGATTGGTATGGCACTGAATACGTAAATTAATTTAGGTAGAATTGTCATTTTCATTATATTTGCTCGACCTACCCATGAGTAATTGATATTTTTTCAAGTATTTAGATCTGACTTTATTTGTTCGAAAAGTATTTTGTAATTGTGTTGATAGAGTTCCTGGGTTTGTTTCGAGAGGTAGACTCCTAAATATTTTATAATGTCTACAGTAACTTTAAATGGAATTCCTCTTTCTATTTCTTGGTGCTAAGTTTTGTTAGTAATATATAGAAATGCTGATGATTTATGTAGGTTTATTTTATATCCTCCAATTTTGTTAAATTTGTTTATTATTTCAAGTAGTTTTTTACTTGATTCTCTAGGATTCTCTAAATATACCATCATATCAGCTGCAAAGGATAATTTTGTTTTTTCTTTGCCTATTTTGATTCCTTCAATTTCTTTTTCTTCTCTTATTTCTAAAGCTAACATTTCTAGTATAATATTGAATAACAGTGGTGGTAATGGACATCATTGTTTCATCCCCCCCATCTTATTGAAAATGCTTCTAGCTTATCCTTATTACATATAATACTTGCTGACAGTTTTCAATAGATTGGTCTATAATTTTCTTTCTGTTTTGGCTCTTCCCAGTTTAGGTATCAGTACCATGTTTGTATCATAAAAAGAATTTGGTAGGACTCCACCTATTTTCCCAAATAGTTAGTATAGTATTGGAATTAATTGTTCTTTAAATGTTTGGCAGAATTCACTTGGAAATCCATCTGGCCCTAGAGATTTGTTGATGGCTTGTTCAATTTCTTTTTCTGAAATGGGATTATTTAAGTATTTTATTATCCTCTTCTCTTAATCAGGGTAATTTATATCTTTGTAAATATTCATCCATTTCACTAAAATTGTCAAATTCATTGGCATACATTTGGGCAACATAGTTCCTAATTGTTTTTTTTTTTTAATTTCCTCTTCACTGGTGATGAATTCACCCTTTTCATTCTTGATACTGGTAATTTGGTTTTCTTCTTTCTTTCTTTTAATCAAATTCACCAAAGGTTTATCTACTTTATTGCTATTCTTTTTTCATTAAAACAGCAGTTAGTTTTATTTATTAGTTCAATAGTTTTCTTAATTTCAATTTTCTTAATTTCTCCTTTAGTTTCCAGTATTTCTATTTTGGTATTTAATTGGGGATTTTAAATTTGTTCTTTTTCTGGCTTTTTTAGTTGTATGCCCAGTTCATTGGTCTCCTTGTTCTCTATTTTATGCATATCAGCTTTGAGTGATACAAAACTTCCCCTAAGAACCACTTTCACCACATCCTATAAATTTTGTTATGTTGTCTCATTACTGTCATTCTCTTGAATGAAGTTATTGATTGTTTCTATGATTTATTGTTTGGTCCACTCATTCTTTAGGGTTTAGTTTCCAATTAATTTTTAGTCTATCTTTGCATGTTCCTTTATTAAATATAATTTTATTGCATCATGATCTGAAAAAGATGTATGTAATGTTTCTGCCTTTCGGTATTAGATTATGAGGTTTTTATGCCCTAGTACATGATTAATTTTTGTGTAAGTGCCATGTACTGCTGAGAAAATGTATATTCCTTTCTATCTTCATTCAGTTTTCTCCAAAGGTCCATCATATCTAACTTTTCTAAAATTCTATTCATCTCCTTAACTTCTTTCTTGTTTATTTCATGGTTAGATTTATCTAGTTCTAGAGAGGGGGAGGTTGAGGTCTCCCACTAGTATAGTTTTGCTGTCTCTTTCTTTCTATAACTCCCTGAACTTCTCCTCTAAGAATTTGGATGCTATATATGCTTGATGCATATATGTTCAGTAATAATATTAGTGCATTGTCTATGGTACCTTTTAGCAGGATGTAGTTTCCTTCCTTATCTCTTTTAATTAGATCTATTTCTGCTTTTGCTTTACCTGAGATCAGGATTGCTACCCCTGCTTGCTTTATTTTACTTCAGCTGAAGCATAATATATTCTACTACAGCCTTTTACCTTTACTCTGTGTGTATCCCTCTGCTTCAAATGTGTTTCTTGTAAAAAACATATTGTAGAATTATGATTCTTAACCCACTCTGTTGCTTCCATTTTATGGGAGAGTTCATACCATTCACATTCACAGTTATGAATACTGTCTGTGTTTTTCTCTCCAACCTATTTCCCCCCATTTATGCTTTTCTCTCTCCTTTCTCCCTTTCCCTTCTTACTAGAGGTTTGCTTTTGACCACCACATCCCTCAATCTGTCCTCCCTTCTATCCACCCTCTCCCTTTTCTTTCTCCTTTCCCCTCATACTTCCTATAAGGTAATTTTGATTTTTCTATACCTAACTGATTATGTTATTCCTTCTTTGAGCCAAATCTGATGATAATAAGATTCAAACAATGTTCATCTCCCTCCCTTCTTTCCCTCTACTGTAATAGGTTTTGTGCCTCTTCATGTGATGTAATTTACTCTTTTTTGCCTCCTCTTTTCCTCTCCTCCCAGTACAATCCATTTTCTCCACTTATTTAAATTTTTTATCATCACATCAAAGTCAACTTATACCCATGCCTTCTATCTATTTATACTTCTTCTAAATGTCATAATAAAGATACAGTTCTCAAGAGTTACAAGTATTACTTTCCCTTGTAGGGATGTAAACAGTTTGCCTTTAATGAATAACTTGTTACTCTTGTTTTTTTTTTTTTCTTGTTTACCATTTTATGTCTTTCGAGTCTTGTATTGAAGATCAAATTTTCTGTTGAGTTCTGGTCTTTTCATCAGGAAGGTTTGGAAATCTCCTATTTTATTGAATATCTATCTCCTCACCTGAAAGATTATGCTCAATTTTGCTGAGTAATTCATCCTTGCTCTTTTGCCTTACAGAATATCATATTCCAAGTGATCTTTTAATATAAAAGCTGCAAGGTCCTGAATAATCTTGACTGCAGTTCCATGATATTTAAATTGTTTCTTTCTGGCTGCTTACAGGATTTTCTCCTTGACTTGATAATTCTGGAATTTGGCTACAATATTCCTTGGCATTTTCAGTTTGAGATCTCTTTCAGGAGGTGATTGGTGGATTCTTTTGATGACTATTTTATCCTCTGCTTCTAGGACCTCAAGGCAGTTTTCCTTGATGATTCCTTGAAACATGCTCTCCAGGATCTTTTTTATCATGGATTTCAGGCAGATCAATAATTCTTAAATTATATCTACAGGATTGGTTTTCTAGGTCAGTTGTTTTTTTTCAGTTAGCTTTTGTACCTCCTTTTCCATTTGGCCCATTTTACTTTTGAAGGAGTTCTTTCTTCAGTGAGTTTTTGTGCCTCTTTTCCCATTTGGCCAGTTCTACTTTTTAAGGAGTCATTTTCTTCAGTTTACTTTTTTTTTCTCCATTTGACCAATTGTATTTTTTAAGGACTTGTTTTCTACAGTCATTTTTTTGTCCTTCCTTTTCCAAGCTATTGACTCTTTCTTATATGCCTCTCATTGCTTTTCCTAATTTTTCTTCTACCCCTCTTATTTTACTTTTAAATCCTTTTAAACTCTTCCAAGAAGGCTTTTTGGGTTTGAGACCAGCTCACATTCCCCTTTGAGGTTTTGAATGTAGGTATATTGACAATGTTGTCCTCTTCTGAATTTGTGTTTTGATCTTCCTTGTCCCCACAGTAAGAATCTGTGGTCATGGTCCATTTCTGCTTTTTGCTCATGATGTTTACCTATTTTCTTGCTTTTAAAGTTTAGCTCTCCTGATCAAGCACAGGGACACAAACCCACACTTCTTCTGCTGGGGCTTTGTGTGCTGGGGCCTTAGGTTCTAGCACCTGGATGCTATAAGGGTTGGGCAGATTACCTGGTTCTGAGCTGGGGTCAGCAACACTGAAGATCTTGGGGTCAAGGGGGTTCTGTTCCCTGGAGGATGGGTGCTCTGAAGTACTCAAAGGTTTGGTTGCTGGAGTCTACAGTTCCCTTGCCTGTGACAAGGTACTTTGGGGGTACTGATGTTATTGTTTGCCTGCTCCACCACCCTGGGGCTCAGGATCTCTCACTGACTTGCCAAAATGGGTTTTGACTCTGGTTTGCTGGGTCACCTCCCATTCTGTACTGCTCCCCTTCCACCAGAGTTAGAGAGACCTTTCCCATTAATCCCCCACACTTCCCCAAGACTGCTGCAACTCATCTTTCTGCTGGCTCAGCAGAAAGGGTTTTTTCCAGGGTTTTTCCTGTGGCAATATTTTCTGGGTTTTTAGAGGTCAATAAGGGAACATGAGAGCAACTTACTTCCTATTCCACCATCTTGGCTTCCAGAAGTTATTCTCCCTTCTGGATTTTAAATAGGGCTACTTGACTAGGTAGTACAGTAGATAGAGTGCCAGATCTGGAGACAGTAAGAATCATGTTCCTGAGTTCAAATCCAGCCTAAGACACTTACTAGCCATGTGATCTTGGGCAAGGCACTTAAACCTATTTGACTCAGTTTCTTCATCTGTAAAATGAGCTGGAAATGGACATGGCAAACCACTCCAGTACCTTTTGCCAAGAAAATCTCAAATGGGTTCACAAAGAGATAGAACTGAACAACAGCAATACTTTTAAAACACCTTCAAAAACAAATCCCTCAAGCTTTAATTGTATGGCCTATAAAAAGGCCTCTAGCCCAAGCCTTGGGTGGCTCATTATGTGTATTTTGATGCCTTGAAATGCCTTTAAGTAGCAGTTCTTTTCTATTAACAACCTGTTTTAAATTTTGTACTTGTAAGCTAATGAATTTTGGAGGATATTTTCTTTCCAAAATGATTCTTTTTTAAAGTGACTCCTATGGTTATCTTTTTTTTTTCCACTTTTTACCTGTCCCCTAGCACTGAGACCAGGGAAATGTCTTTGAGTTAGAAGGAAAATTTTTGGCATTTTCCTATCATCATTTCTATTTTGAAAGCAGAACTTTGTCTTCTAATTCTGGAAAATATTTTTGTTCATCTTTTTTTTTTTATTTTTCTCTTCATAGGAAAAAGGTGTAATGTAATTTTTATTTTGTTTTATTAGGCTTTTGGGGTGTGTAATAAGCTTATCTTGATATTACTTTATCCTACTATTATGTAATTGCTGCATTTGTTGATAATGTATGTTTCTTGAAAATCTGAATGCTAAGTGGATAAAGCAGCGGTCCTGGAGTCAGGAGGACCTGAGTTCAAATCCAGCCTCAGGCCAAACACTTGACATTTACCAGCTATGTGACCCTAGGCAAGTCACTTAACCCTAACTTCCTAAAAAAAAAATCTGAATTTTACTAGTAGAGTGCATAACTACTTATTATATGTTGACACGTGAAAGTCATTGGTACTGTTTTCATGATTTGAATTCATGTCTTTGCTGCATTATATTATTGCTTAAACACAGTATGTTAATCCATTGTTTCTGTAATTCTGAACATTTGTTAAGTGCATGAATATTAGTGTATTGATGTGAGCACACATGGAACAGTCTCTAGAAAAGATGACAGGTGTCTAGAAAAGATGAGGGGCACTATCTTGCTCTTACAGATGAAAATAATAGAGGTCTCCTAATATCAGAAATTTATGCAGACCTTAAGTTTAAGGACATTTTAAAAATTTGGGCAGAAGAGTGAAAGGATTAGAAGAATGTACAATTAAAGCCACTTATGATATGGCAGGTAAGACTGCTCAGGAAGTTTCTAATCCAGCCTGAGAATTTTGACCATTGAGGTACATCTGAGGAACTGATAGTAGGAAGTTAGTCCTGAGATTTTCAGACTTGTCCAACTGCTTAGAATGAGGAATTGTTTAAAGAAGTAGGAGTCCCACCCTCAACTCACCTGACCCCCCCACAAAGAAGTGGAAGCCCTTCTGATCAAAGGAAAAATTTGTACAGAGAGACTGAATATTAAAATAATACCCAACAACTCCATTTATCCATGAATGAGGTTGAGGCTTTACTCCCTGTCACATATGATTACCAAAAAAATGACAATTTCTCTGAACAGGAATCACAAGTCCAGAACAACACTGGAAGACATGGGTTGAACAAGCAAAAGTGAGCATGGGACACTAGAATGCCTCTGAGATAGACAAAGTGATGAGGTTAAGGGAGGTAGCTGTAAAGGCAATCAATACCTTCACAGAGAAAAGGTCAGATGCTACTTGACAGGAGTGTATACAAATTTTAGCTCATATTTTTGAGGGGGATAGATCTAAAGACTTCTGTGCTAATTTTGTCTTTCATACCATGCAGGAAAAAAAAGTATTGAGTTCCTCCTCTCTGTGCAGAGACTGATACAGAAAGATCCTACGGACACTAAGAATGCAAAAATGCATAGATAGATAGTTAAAGTTATACTTTAGAGATTGTTCCAGGGTTTGGTACAATGACCTTCATGTAGTTGATGTCATCATGATCTATGCAGACTCTGTAAAAATTAAGAATATGGACTACAATGCTACCCTGGGACAGTAGATTTCAAGTTAACATAATTTTCCAATCTTTTTATGGCAGGGGTTTGGGTAAAATAATGTTAAAGCATATGACAGGACTTGGACTTTGTGGTTTGAGTGATAAAGACTATCTATTCATGGGATACATCTACGTGAGCTTAATATTTCCTAAGAAAGTTATTAGCATGTATAGAAAAAGGGACACTGTGGAACAGAACTAAGATGGTAGAGTAAAAGGAGAGTTTCCCCAAGTTGTTCCAATATTCTTCTCTAAACAACTTTTTTCAAAAAGCATCAACACAAATCCCAAACTATATAACCAATAAAAATACAGAGTGAGTATTTTCCCCCATCTAGGACATTTTAGAAGGATAGAAAGAAATGTCTGTGGCACTGGGATGGGGCTTGGTTGGAAGTGCAATGCTGTGGAAGTGGCATCAGCTATGAACCTTGGAGGGGCAGTGCCAGTAGCAACAGTGGTAAGAAGAGTGTTCAGCACCCAGATATGGTGAGAGTACTGAACAACTGGTCAGAAAGAAAGTATGGACTACCCCTTGTCTAACACTGGGAACAAGACTGACTGCCATTTGGCAACTCATTGATCATTATCCACTTCTGGATCACAAATCCAGGGCAGAGAGGAACACTTACAGTTGCAACAGGAGCAGGGGACCTATATGAGTATGGGTCACAGTTCCAGGTTAGAGAAGAGATGTGGTTTCTAGAGACTAGAGGCCCTACCTGGGTAAGTGCCAAAGCACCAAAAAGGAGAGTACTGACCATGCCTCCTCCTGAATCATATGACCTTGACAGTACCAAAAATTTACAGACCTAAAAGAAATACATGTGGAAAGAGTAGGACATAAAAGTCTGAAGCTCATGACAGTCACCCCTTGCCACCCCACTCCTTCCGAAGTAAGCAGAGCCCAGCTCTTACATAAAGAAAAAAAGTCAAGAAATAGGTTAGAAAATGAGGAAACAGCAAAAAAAAGAATCTGACCATAGGAACCTACTGTGGTAACAGGGAAATTCAAGACACAAACTCAGAAGAATACAATGACCTGAGAACATATACAAACAGGGCCTTAAAGAAAAATGCAGATTGGACACAAGTCAAAGAAAAATTCTTAGAAGAGTTAAAGGAAAACTTTAAAAAGAGCAATATATATATATATGTGTGTGTGTGTGTGTGTGTGTGTATTAAAGTCAAATAAGAGTGGCAGAGGAAAAATTGTAAAAGAAATGAAAACAATGTTTCCATTCAAATTCAATGTTTAAACTCAAATGAAAGCAATATTTCAAAAAAATTATGAAAAGAATTAACAGCTTAGAAAAAAAGACACAAAAATAATGTATTAAGTAAGTCCTTAAAAGTCAGAATTGGCCAAATGGCCAGAGAAGAACAACACCTCACTGAACAATACAATTTCTTAAAAATTAACATTGGGCAAATGGAAGCTATTGACTCCATAAGAACTCAAGAAACAATAACAAAAAGTAATAAGAATGAAAAAAACAAGTGTGAAATATGTCATCAGAAAAACAAATGACCTAGAAAATGGGTTTTTATTTCAAAAATAGCCTAGATATCATATTTCAAGAAATAATAAAGTAAAATAATTCAGATTTCTTAGAATCAGAGGTCAAAATAGAAGTTGAAATTATCCATTGATCACCTCCTAAAAGAGTTCCCAAAATGAAAACTCCCAGGAATATCCCAACCAAATTACTGAGCTCCCAAGTCAAGGAGAAAATATTGCAAGCAGTCAGAAAGAAACCATTCAGATATCATGGAGTCACAATAAGGATCACACAATATTTAGCAGTTACCATGTTAAAGCAACAGAGACCTTGGAATATGATTTTCCAGAAGGCAAATGGAGCTGGGACTACAATCAAGAATAATCTACCCAGAAAAACAAATTGTAATCCTTCAGGGGAAAAATGGATATTTAATGAAATATGACTTCCAAGCATTCCTTAGGAAAAGACTAGAGCTAAAGAGAAATTTTGACCATCAAGCAAAAGACTCGAGAGGCACAAAAAGTTAAACATGAATGAGAAATCAAAACAAACTTAATAAGGTTAAATTCTTTTCATTCTCAAATGAGAAGATGATGTTGTTGTTTGTCTTTCATTTTTTTAAGAGAACCAATGACAATATACTGTGAGGGTGATGTCTTGACTAGGGAATGAATTGGATTTAACAGAGAAAGAGTTACACAAAATCATCAGCCCCTTTCTTCAGAGACATTAAAGTTCACTCTGAAGGCAAAAGCCAGGACAATTGCTGATGGCCCAGTGGATGATATTGGCATCTTCAATGTCTGACCAAATTCTAAGTACTTCACAGCATTTACTTTAGCCATCCTGAAGCTAGGTGGTACAGTGATTGAGTGCCAGTCCTGGAGTCAGGAAGATGCATCTTCCTGAATTCAAATCTGGACTCAGATACTTACTAGCTATGTGACCCTGAGCAAGTCACTTGGCCCTGTTTGCCTCAATTTACTCTTCAAAAAGTCATGCACCACCTCTCCTTCCACTTTAGTCTTGGCTTGAAGCCTTTTCAAGTTAAATAGTTTAACATCACTGTGGTAGGTGACCTTTCTGCCATTTTTGTTCTTGATAAAGATTTCTGGAAACATCGCTGAAACATCATGCTAAAAAGCATAAGAGCAAGCACACAGCCAAGCTTCACTCCATTGGTGACCAGAAAACTATGAAAGCAATGTCCATTATCCAGAATGTGTGCAAACATGCCATCAGGAAATTGACATACAATACCAATGAACTCCTCCAGGCAACCAAATTTTGTTATGATGTTCTACAAACCCTCATAAGTGACAGCAACAAAGGTCTCCATCAGGTCAACAAATAATGTGTAGAGCCTGCTGTTCTGCTCCTGGCATTTATCCTGCAGTTGTCAGGCAGCAAACATCCATGTTTACCATTCTTCAGTCATTTCTGAAGCCACACTGGTTCTCAGATAGAGGACCATCTTCCAAGAAAAGGGTCAGCCAATTAAGAAGGATTCTGAGAAGAATCTAGCCAGCAGTGACAAAGAAAGAGACATCCTGTTCTACCATGATTTTCACAGGGCAAGCTATTTCCTTTTCCTTTATAGAGATGGACAATGGAAGCACCCTTGATCTCTTGGGGGATAACTTCCTATTGCCATATACCCTGGGAGATTTCAGTCAGCTTCTGTATGAGCAATGGACTCCTTGCCTTGTAGATCTCTGTTGGAATGGGATCAGGACCAGGCTCTTTGCCAGACAAGAAGTATCTAATGGCATTCAAAACCTTGTCTTCAGCTGGAAGTTCGGCTAGAGAGAGATTGACTTCAACCTGAGGCATATGACTTCAGCATTGCTTGATGACAATCTGTTGGGAACACTATGGAAGTGTTCAGTCTACCTCTCCAGGATCATATTCTTATCACTGATCAGTGTGGCTCCATCAGCACTGAGTAGTTGAGATGCACCAGAGGTCTTTGACCCAAAAATAGCCTTCAGGGCATTGTAGAAATGCTTTGAATTGTTGCTATCAGTGTAAAACTGAATCTCATCTGCCTTCTTACTGAGCCAAGAATCTTGCACCTCTCTAAGCTCCATTTGCACTTTACTTTTGAAGGAGTTGAGCACTGCCTTCTTAGGGATAGATGAACTTTCCTGCTGTTAAACCCTACAGAGTCTTTGTTTTTCATTTAGCAACTTCTAAATTTCCCTATCATTTTTGTCAAACCAACCCAGATGTTTGTTAGTGTTCTGGCCCAGATGAGCAAATGTGGTGCTATATAACAAGTCTCTGAAAGCTGACCACTGCTTGTCTGCTTCACTGTTGCTAACTGCATGCTTATTCAGTTTTCACTCCACAGAGAAGTGCTGTCATCTGCTGACATTGAATCTTCTGATAGTCTTTATGCCTTAGGTCCTCTGACTTGCTGGACATGAAAGTTTAGCTTGGAGGGGATAATTCTATAACTGGTCCAACATTCTGTGCTACATATCACCTTCATCACTCTCACAACCTGCCTATCTCTTCTCCTTACAATGACTTAGTCTATTAAATGTTGGTGTTTGCTGTGAGAGTGCATCCATGACATTTCATTGCTTTTTGTAAACAGAAAACAGTGTTGCTAATGAGAAAGGCATGAGGGGCATAGGTCTTTGGTAAAAGTGACTGTTGCTATTGCTGTCTTTAACTCAATTCCTCCCAAGGACTCTCTATTATGTCTAATAGTTTGTGCCTACTCTGACATTAAAGTCACCCAGAACTGCAAGCTTGTCTTCTTTTGACATATCGATGATTAGGGTCTCCAGGTCTCCATAAAATTTTTCTTTGACCTCATCAGGGTTTGTCATAGTGGAAACATATGCACTGATGGTAGTGGCATGACACCTTCCTGCAAGTGGAAACCACATTGTCGTGAGCCTGTTGTTCATTCCTTTTGGTAGATATATAAGATTGTTGACTAGATCAGATTGCAAAACCTGCACCAGCTTTGTTCTTTCCTCATTATAACAGCCACTACAGAAAAAAATGTGTATCCAGCTCCAACTCCAGTAACCTGTCCTCCATTTGCCAGCCTTGTTTCACTCAGGGCTGCTATTTGGATATGGTACCTGCTGATTCCTCTTACAAGAAGAGCTGTTCATTTTTCACTCTACTGAATTTCATGTTGTCCATGAGTATTCACACATCCCATGTACCAATTGTGAGTGTAATCATCTTTGCAAAAAATGTTGTACTTTTTTGTCTTTTGACCACAGTGATTATACAGGGTGTAATCTCTGCCTGCCACAATAAGCAGGCCAGGGTTGGATAAAGCAGACAATTTTAGAGTACCTTTTCTAACACCTTCTTTGTACCAGGAGGTGAGCAATGTAGTCTTTAAAAAAGCTGCTCAGCAATTTAGAACTATGTCCAAGTGACTATAAAAAAGTACAATAGCACCTCTAGGCCTGCATCCCAAAGAGACCATATAAATTGGAAAAGGATCCGTATGTACAAAAATATTTATAGCAGCAATTTTTGTGGTGGCCAAGAATTGGAAATTGAAGGGATGCCCACCAACTGTGGAATAGCTGAACAAGCTGTGGTATATTAATGTAATGGAATACTATTGTGCTATAAGAAATGATGATCAGGTGGACTTCAGAAAAACCTGGAAAGACATGAACTGATACTGAATGAAGTAAGCAGAACCAGGAGATCATCGTGCACAGTAACAGCCACATTGTCCGATGATCAACTTTGATAGACTTAACTCTTCTCAGCAATATAAGGATATAAGACAATTCCAAAAGACTCATGATGGAAAATTCTATCTACATCCAGAGAAAGAACTATGAGGTCTGACTGCCAATCAAAGCATACCATTCTCTCTCTCTCTCTTTCTCCTTTCTCATTTTTCCCTTTAGTTCTAATTCTTCTTTACAACATGACTAATGTGGAAATATGTTTAATGTAAGTGTACATGTATAGCCTATATCAGATTGCATGGCATCTTGGGGAGGGGGGAGGGAAGGGAGGGAGAATAGTTTAGAACTCAAAATCTTATAGAAGTGAATGTCAAAAACTAAAACCAAACAAATAAATATTTTTTTTAAAAAAGCTGCTCTGATACCCAGGCGACTGCTGAATCTCACTGCTGCTTCAATCCAGTGAGAAGAGCACCTTATGCCCTGGGTCACCTGTGTACAGGGTGGTGAATACAGCTCTCAGTATATCTGTACCTGTTGCTTCATCACTCACCTATTGGCACAGGACTTCAAGGTAGGTAAAATAACAAAATAGTAAGATGATAAAGTAATAAAATTGTAAAATAATGAATGATGGATGATGTCTTCACTTGCCCATTAATTGGATTTAAGTGAGGCAGAGTTGTGCAAAGTCATTAGCCTCGATTTCTTTTTCAGTCATCAAAGTCTAGTAGGGAGACAAAAGTCAAGATTACTGATGATGGCTCAGGATGCATGGCCTTGGCATCTTAGATGTCTGAACAAGCTCCAAGACCTCCACAATACCATCTTTGACCGCCTTTATGGCCATTGAATCAAATTTCTCTCATTCACCCATTCTGCCAGGGGAAGTCTTCATATTCTTGGAGTAGATATCTCCCAGATTCAACTGGTTTGAGGCCTGGTGGTTACCCTCAACCTGGTTTAACCAATCTGCCGAGATGTTTTTACCAGCATGTGGCCACTGCATGTACTACAACATCTTGGAACCACAGGTGAGATTTGGGTGACAAGAGGACACCAAAGGTGGATGAATAGCTCTGAAAAGGGCTTAGCAAACCCTCATACCAGAGATGCTAGTCCTTCCTAAACACTCCTCCCCCCAGCATTTCCAGAAAGTTATTGGGGTCAGGTGACATTCTGAGTGTGACAACTTTTAATCACATAAGATTGCATTTAAACAGCATAATAATTGTGCCAAACAATATAATTAATCATTTCCCTCACAAAATCTCTCTTATCCACAAAGGAAGTAGGAGGGGAAATGGCTAAGAAAAAGGAGGGATGATAAGAAGGAGGTCGGATTAAGGGATGCAGTCAGTAGTCAGAAACAAAACAGACTTTGAGGAGTGGATAGATTAAAAAAAAGATAGATACCCATAAGAGAATAAGATGGACACAAATACACACTTAGCAATCATAATTACGTATGTTATGATGAACTCATCCATAAAATGGAAACAGATAACAAAATGCATAAGAAGCCAACATACAACAATATGTTGTTGACTCACTTGAAACAGAAAGACACATACGGAGAAAAATAAGAGGCTAGTATATAATATGCCTTATCTGAAAAAAAAAAGTAAAAGTACAATCATGATTTCAGACAAAGTATCAAGAAAAACCTAATTAAAAGAGATAATTATGAAAAGTACATCTTGCTAAAAGGTACCATACACAATGGATTAATACCAATACTAAACATATACTCAAATGTCATGGTATACAAATTCTTTAAGGAAACAAATGAAATATAGCAGAAATTCCAAAACTACACTAGTGAGGGACCTTAATTTACCCCTCTCAGAACTAGATAAAACTTAATATAAAATAAATAAGAAATAAGTGAAAGAAATAAACAGAATTTTGGAAAAGTTAGATACAATAGATTTCTAGAGAAAATCAAATGGGAAGAAAAAACAGTAAAACTTTTTCTTAGCTGTACATGATGCCTTTACAAAAATTGACCATGAGAATAAAAAGATCACAAACAAATTAAGCAATGTTAAAATATAATATATATTCCATTTGGACAATAATGAATAAAATTATGTTTCATAAAGAGATTTGGTAGCACAGATTAAAAATTAGTTGGAAATTAAATTATCTAATCCCAAAGAATAATTGGGTCAAATAATAGATAATTAAAACAATCTGGGGCAGTTAGGTGGTACAGTGGATAGAGCTCTGGCCTTGGAGTCAGGAGGACCTGAATTCAAATTTGACCTCAGACACATGACACTTACTAGCTGTGTGACCCTGGGCAAGTCACTTGACCCCAATTACCTCAAAAAAATCAATAATTTCATTAAAGATAGTGACAATAATGAAACAACATATCAAAATTTGGGGGATTTTGTCAAAGCAGTACTTAGGGGAAATTTTACTTCTCTAATGCTTGCATCAATTAAAGAGAGAAAGAACAGATTGTTGAATTGGGCATTCAACTAAAGGTGAAACAAGAAACAAATTAAAAATCCCCAATTAAACACACAAAATTAATATAAATCTCAAAAATCAAAAGAGAGATTTTCAAAATTGAAAATAAAAAAAGGAACTAATAAATAAAACTAGGAGCTGGTTTTATTTAAAAAAAAAGATAAGCAATTGGTTAATTTAATTTAAAAAAGAAAACCAAATTACCTGCATCAAAAATTAAAAAAAAAATTAATGTACCACCAATGAGGAAGAAAGTTAAGCATTTGGGAGGTATTTTAGCCAATTATATGGCAGTAAAACTGGCAATCTAAATGAAATAGCTGAATATTTATAAAAATATAAATTGCCCAGATCAATAGAAGAAGAAATAGTATATTTAAATAACCCTATCTTAGAAAAAGAAATTGCACAATTCATTGATGATTCATCTAGGGAAAAACTCCCAAGACTAAATGGATTTAAAAGTGAATTGTATTTAAAAACAATTAATTGTAATACTATAAAAATTATTTTAAAAAATAGGGAAAGAAGGAGTCATACCAAATTCTTTCTATGATACAAATGTAGTTTTGATACTTAAACCAAGGAGAGCCAAAACAGAGAAAAAATATAGGTCAATTTCCCAAATGAATATTGATGCAAAAATTTAAAGCAAAATATCATCAAGGAGATTCCTGCAATATATTACAAAGATCATATACCAGACTTATACCAAGAATGTAAGGTGGTTAAATATTGGGGAAAAATGTAAGCATGATTGACCATATCAATAACAAATTCACTTGATTATATTAATAGATGCAGAAAAAGCTTTTGACAAAATACAACATCAATACCTATTATAAACAATAAAAAGCAAAGGAATCATTGGAGCTTTTCCTAATATTATAAGTAGTATCTAGTGAAACCAAAGAGCCGGCATTATATGTAATAGGTATGAACCAGATCAATAAGATCAGGGGTGAAGCAAGAATGTCAATTATCACTATTATTATTCAATATTCTATGAGAAATGCTTACTATACTAATAAAACAATAAAAAGAAATTGAAGGAATAAGAATAGGTGATAAGGAAACAGAACTATGACTCTGCAGATGATTAGAGAACACAAGAAAATCAACTAAAAATTAATTGAAACAATTGACAACTTTAGCAAAGTTGCAGGATATAAAATAAACATTCATAAACCATCAGCACTTCTACAATCAATAAAACACAGCAGGAAGATATAGAAATAGAAATTCCATTTAAAATAACTAGACTGTATAAAATACTTGGGACTCTATTTGCCAACACACACACACACACACACACACACACACACACACACACACGCACTCATACACACACAGAGGAACTATAGGAACACAATTGCAAAACAGACCTAAACTATTGAAAAGTACTTATTAATCATAGGTAAGCTATGCCAATATAATAAAAATGATAATACTACCTAAACTAATTTATTGCAAAACCAGTCAAACCCCCGAAGAAGTATTTTATAAGGCTAGAAAAAAACAATAAATTGCTTTTAGAGAAACAAAAGGTCAAGAATATCAAAGAAATCAATGGTAAAAAAAGTGCAGTAAAGCAATCAAGTTGAAATCTATAAAATGGTATTCATAAAGACAGTCTGGTAGTAGATAAGAAATAGAGTAGTTGGCCAAGAGAAGAGATTAGGTATAGTATGTACTAATGTTTGATAAACTGAAAAATGCAACCAATTGAGCAAAAACTCACTATTTGGTTAAAACAAATTATTGGGAAAAAAACTGCTCACTTTTTTTCTTCAGTTTCCTCATCTATAAAATGAGGTGGAGAAGGAAATGGTGAATCACTCCAGCAACTTTGCCAAGAAAACCCTAAAAGATCATGAAGAGTTGGATACGACTGAACAAACAGCGCTGTAAGAAATGATGATGGTAATGTTAAAAAAAAATACCTAGGAAGACTTACATGAGCTGACTCAAAGTGAATTGAAAAGAACTAAGAGAACATTATATGTAGTAACAGCAGTATTGTAATGATAATCAACTGTGAAAGACTTAGCTATTCTCCTCAATATAGTGATCTATGACAATTTCACAGAACTCATGCTGTAAAATGCTATCCACCTCTAGCTAGAGAACTGATGGATTCACTGTGAAGATTGTAACCTGTTTTCTTCATGTTCTTTATTTTTCTTCCTACTTTTTTTTACAACATGGCAAATGTGGAAATGTTTTGCATGACTTCATGTGTATAATAAGTATCATATTTCTTGTCTTATGGGTAGGGAAGTAGAGGGAGGGAGAAAATTTTGGAATTGAAAATTTTCAAAAGAAAAAAAGGTAAGTAGATTCTGCCTCTACTATGTCCAGATACTCCAACACTGATTAGAGTGTCATCATTGATTCGAACTGATCTTTTCATAATTTTTAACATTCATTTTTTAGTTCATTTATTTTGACATATCAACAACCATTTTCACAAGTTTTTGAGTTTTAAATTTTTCTCCTCCTCCTTAACCCCTCCTAAAGATAACATGCAATCTGATATAGGCTATACATAAACATTCTTATTAAACATATTTTCACATTAGTGATGTTGTAAGAAAGAATTAGCACCAATAGGAGGAACTACCAGAAAGAGGAAAAAGCCTAAGAAAAAATTAGCAAATAGTATGCTTCGATCTGCATTCAAACTCCATAATTCTTTCTTTGGATGAGGATAGCATTTTCCATCATGAGACCTTTGGGGATGTCTTAGATCCTTGCATTGCTGAGAATGGCTAAGTCTATCAACGATAGTCATCATATAATATGGCTGTTACTGTGCACAACATTCTCTTGATTCTGCTCACTTCACTCAACATCAGTCCACACAAGTTTTTCCAGGTTTTTCTGAAGTCCACGTGCTCATCATTTCTTTTTTTTTAGATTGTCTTCAATAGCCAGTATTTCTAAGTGAATCATCCTTTTCCTTATTTTGACCAATCCTACTTTTTATTAATTTACTTCTTTTTAGTTTTCAACATTCATTTCCACAAGATTTTGAGTTCCAAATTTTCTCCCCATCTTGTTCCTCCCCCCATCTCAAGATGGCAAGCATTCTGAATACCTTTCCCCTAATCTGCCCTCCCTTCTATCTCTCCTCCACTTCTCTTATCCCCTTCCCCTTTTTCCCTTCATCCTACCCAGCCCCCCATTTATTCTATTCTCTCTTTTGACCCTGTCCCTCCTCAGAAGTGTTTGCTTCTGATTACCCCCTCCCCAAAGCTGCCCTCCCCTCTATCATTCCCCCTGCTCTATTGTCCCTTTCACCCCTATGTTCCTGGAGGGTAAGATAGATTTCCATACCCAACTGAGTGCATATGTTATGCCCTCTTT